ATCAAATTATTGGGCTGAGTTGGAAAGTCTTGGAATGACAAAATATAAACTATGCAAAATATAACTCTACTTAGTATTACCAATGCATACACAGGGGAATCAATAAGCATACTCATGGTCTCAGAAATTATTGAAAATTAAAAATTTTTGTAAAGAAAAATATTGAAAAAATATACAATAAGTTTTAGTTAAATAATTTTTTATTCATGCCTTCAGGTAAAAACAATCTTACTATCATACATTGTTGAAAAACCAGTGTTGAAAATTTTTTTGATAGCTACACAAGTAATAAATTATGGGCCATTAAAACCGATTATTGTTTCCTCCAGTTATATGAACACCAAATTAATTATTATTTTTACTTTGAATCTAAATCTTTAACCAATTTTAAAAAATGAATGGTTTAAAATAAAATAATTATAAGAACAAAATTGTTTGTAACTTTTATTTTCGATGCGAAGCTGAGAAGGTATTAATTTTATTATAATATGTTAATTTATTTAAATTTTTTTAATATCTGTTGCCATTTTTTCTCAGCTCTCAGCGGACCGATTTTTTTCAGCCATACGTCAAAAAATTATAAATCATATCTAGTTGCAGTCATTATCCTTAAACACTCTTGTTCCCTGTACATGGAAGAAATATCCCCAAAAAGGTTTATTTTTAAAATCGGTAAATTTCGACATTTTTTAAAAAATTTTAAATCTGAAGGAAACAAAATCATTTTTTTTTAAATCATAACCTTTAGGTATTTCCTATTCATTTGGTATATTATTGAATATCTGACCCTTTAACACAGTGGGGGATTAAAAATAGCAACATTTACATAAAAAATTAACTTTATCAACTTTTTGAAAATGCTCCGGAAATACTTCAAAAATATTTTAAATTAAAATATGTAATGCTTACTCTAAGTTAAAAAAAAAAATTGTCCCCACGATTTCTATGTGCAAAATGTACCGTATTTAAAAAATATGCTATTTTTATGTTAAACTATTCGATTTTATATTTTCAACTTGATATTGTTATGAATTTTTGAAAATGTATGTATCCATACAATTTTTTTTTGTACTTGGTAAACACATATTCTTTTATTTGAAATATTTTTTTTTTATTTAATATGCCCTATAAAGGGGATGCTACAGTGATGGGGCCGCTGATTTTCATAAATGCTATTTGAATGAAATTTACATTCAATGATTTATACGTTTAGTGCATGAATAATTACTTGTTATAGTAATTAAACTTAGTATGAAATTTATATTGAATAATTTAGTATTGTAAATTTTACGAAAAAATTATAAAAAGTTATTGTATACATAATAATTCTTTTAATATTAGCCATGTTAAGAAAATCATTTATGGTATTTTTTAGTTTCATATGTTTCTTGATTTATCAATTAGAATAATTTTTTAAATTCATCCTATATACCTTATTAATGTATCAACATTTCGACTGAACTTTTTAATCTATTGGGAGTTATTACTATATTTTTTTTCTTATTGAAATAAATAAATAAACATATATACAAATATAGATATTGTAACATGTTAGAGGTTTATCATATAAATACTTACTAAAGCATTGTGTGAAATAGTTAGCAGTGTTTATATCATCTTTATTTGAGTTTCCGTCTTTTGTAATCAATATTACACCAACCGTATACATTGATCCTGCTTCTAAATTGCTTATTTTGTTTTTAAGAAAAAAAGCTTCTTCATCTATATCTGTTATTGGTAAATACTGAAAATCTAATTCACTTGAAGTTGGCTAATATAAAAAATTATAAATTATTATCGTAATTTATGATTAACTCTAATTATAATTAGATCAATAATTATAAATGGTAAAAGAAAACTTCAAAGAATATGTCGATTCTTATCAAAACAAAACTAAGATATTAGGCAAACTCAAACTAAACAAATTTAGATCAACATTTTGACGGTTTGTATCATCTCTAATTGCCAATAATAAATGCATTATAAAATATTTAATTTTTATAATAATTTTTGAAAACAATTTTTTTGTTTTAAATTTACCACAAAATTAATTTATTACCTTGTATACAATCTGATAAAATGACGGAATATTACTTTTGCTTCCAAATATATTTTCATTTGTTAAATTTAAAATTAAATTTATTGAATGAAAATCTGAAAATTCCAATTTAGGTGGTTCGATTAGAACTGGATATTCTGTAATAATGAAAACAAAATTTTTATAAATAATAAATTGCAAAACTTCATAAAGTAATTAAAATTGTTAATTACTTTCAATACAATATGGTAAAATGAAATTATTTTTACATCCTCCTTTACAAGTTCCTAAGATATTATCGCAGTGAGTTTTACAATTTTCGGAACATATTTTTTGACATCTGCGACCGTAAGTTCCTTTAGAACATTCTATAAGATTTTTCAATAATTTTAGTTTTTNTTAGAACATTCTATAAGATTTTTCAATAATTTTAGTTTTTAATTATGAAAAATGGTTCAAACTATAATAAACCTTTATTGCATAAAGGTCCAGTGTATCCAGCTGCACAAGAACATCCATTACTATATGTGCAAAACAACATGTTCTTACAAAAAGTCTTCTTTTGTGAACACCTGGCAGAACAATCAGCTCCATATTTATTTTTACTGCATTCTGTAAACAAAATTAAATAGGTTAATTGTTTTTGAATAATTTTAAATAGTTATCAATATAAATACCTATAGATGAATTGGTATTCGCAGTCATTATCTGAGTTTTACCTATTTAAAATTTAACATAAAATATTACTCCGAAAAAGAAATTTATAAAAGAGTCATTGATTAGAAATTAAAATTTTGTTATTTTATTTACTTGGATATATATACATTGTAGGAGTTAGGCTAATATTTTCTGTATTATTTATTTCATAAACATCTTCTACTTCTAATTAAACAAAAAATAAATGAATTGGTTATTTTATGTAAAATCAACGATTAAAATATTTGAATCGATCATTTCAAAAACGACATAAGTCATCAATTTTTCAATTATGACTTTTTGTCAAATTTGATAATTATATACCTGGTTACGTATTTTGTGTAAAAACGACATTTGTCAGACTCATATTTAATTAAAAATTTACTACAAGAAACTAGGATCACTGCAAAAACTACACAAGTCATTGACTTGTGTAGTTTTTGCTGTCATTAACAGATCGCACTTTTTGATTTTATGCAAAACTTACCCCGACCAAACATACTAGTACAAGACATTTTTTATTTAAGACAATTATGGGTGAATTGTTTTGGGATTAAAAATTTGAAAACTGAAGAATCTACATTTAAATGTACCATGAGGGTGAAGCTTGCAAGGGATCTAACGATGTGTGCTCTATGTTACTGGATTATATAAATAATAATATTAATTCAGATATAAAAGAATTATACTTGTTTTGTGATGGTTGTCCAGTCCAAAACAAAAATAATACCGTTATACGATTTTTGCTAGCGTTGATAAGTAGTCAACGATTTGAAAGGATTTATCACTTTTTCTTTTACATTTTTACCTTACGATCGAGATTTTGGAGTTATAAAAAAAATAAGAAAGCATGATGGTATATATGTGCCAGATGAATATATTAAAATAATGAATGAATGCAGTTAGAAGTTCAAAGAAATAAAGTTTCAGACGGATTAATTTTACGACTTTAAAAAATGGTGGCCATCATACTACAAAAAGACATGTTTATCTGTTGAGACATTTGGAAAAAAAGTTCCAAAGGACCAAAAGCAATCCTTTACCCCATCTACATACATGAGTTACGAATATAATACAAAATATATGGTATTGTATTCACACATAATTTTATCGATGGGTTATTAAAACACACATTTAAAATATTAAAAGTAACAACAAATAATAATATAGCATTGCCAACAGCCAAGGTGCATAACAATAAAGTGCCAATAAACCCCCAAAAAATTGAAAACTTAAGACAAGTTAGAGATAGTATAATCGAGGAGAATATGTTATTTTATGAAGAAATATATAAATGTCTAACTGCTGATGGACAAAATATGGAAGCTGAAAATGTAGAACTTAATGGGGAATATGATTACGTACCATGACAATTTTCAAAATATTATGTATTAATGTATTAACGTATTTTTATTTTTGTTAAGTATTGATCAGTTGTTTTTAATAATTTAATGTTAGTTTACATATTTTTACAGTTTTTTATTGTATTTCGATTTTTATCAAATTTCATTCAAAAATACTCTTGTATTGTAACATTTTTCAAGTTAAAGTATTAAGTTTTTGTTGTTTAAGAAAAAAGAAATATTTAATTTTTTGTAAAATAATATGTATTATGAAATGTGTAATGGTTTATTATGTTGTGTTTTGATAAGTTTTAATCAGTTGTTTTTAAATTTTGTTACTTTTTGTAAAGTTAAAAAAAGTTAAGTATTGTTTATTTAAAATAAAAATTATTTTATTTAAAAAAATTATTTCAGCTAGTGTAAAAATATTATTAACATTACTGTATGTGTTTATCTATGTTATTTTATTTCTTGACTTAGATTGTATATTATAAATTTCTATTGACTGCAAAAACAACGTAAGTCAAATATGTTTTATCTGAATTTTATGCATTTTGGTAAAAGTTAGACTTTTTGCTTGAAGTGCTTGAGGATATATCCATGTTTAAAGTTGAGTTCTGACGTTTCGGACTCATTGCAGAGTCCATCTTCAGAGTGATGGTTGCTAGTCGGTGGCTGCAACTATACTGACGGCTTATCTTGATAACAGTCTGCTTTTATAAAATTGATAACATCTGGTTTTTGACTAACGTTGTTTGCCGTATCAGGGTTTTTGACTAACGTTGTTTACGGCATTCTTGACATTTCGGTCTTCCTTTCCTACACCGGCAATTATTTGTTATGTTGATTGTTGCCTCTTCGTATATTGAATTATTTTCGGTGTTGTTGGTTAATTTCCTTTTTGTCTGGTGTATGATAGGTAACCAAGTTTTGCTGATTTTCCATCCATCTTCTCTGTTAAAATTTTCCGGACATTTTTCGATTTCTATTGCTTCCTTGTACATCCGTTTGCCAAAATGAGTTTCTTTGTTAAGTATTTTTACTTTATCGAATTGTATGTCATGTCCTTTGTTTTTGGCATGTTCAGCTACTGCAGATTTTTCTGTTCTTTGGTACTCCACATCTTTTTCATGTTCTTTTATTCTTGTCGCAATAGCTCTTCCTGTTTGTCCAATATAAGATTTACCACATGAACACGGTATTTCATATACTCCTGGTGTTTGCATCTCTGGCAGTTTATCTTTCGGGTTTCGGAGTAGTGATCCTGCTACTGTGTTTGGTTTGAAAACGGTTCTTAATTTGAATTTTTGTGCGATTCTTGATATGCGGTCGGTAATTCCCTGTATGTACGGCAGTATTAATGTTCCTTTCTTTTCATCTTCATTATTTTCGTCATCCATGATACGCGTTGCATTTTTTCTTTTCTCTGCTTTTTTTAATTGTCTTATTAATATTTTTAATTGTGTACCCATTATTCTGTAGTGCTTGTCGTAAGTATGTTTTTTCCTCATTCACATGGTTNAAAGTAAAAATACTTAACAAAGAAACTCATTTTGGCAAACGGATGTACAAGGAAGCAATAGAAATCGAAAAATGTCCGGAAAATTTTAACAGAGAAGATGGATGGAAAATCAGCAAAACTTGGTTACCTATCATACACCAGACAAAAAGGAAATTAACCAACAACACCGAAAATAATTCAATATACGAAGAGGCAACAATCAACATAACAAATAATTGCCGGTGTAGGAAAGGAAGACCGAAATGTCAAGAATGCCGTAAACAACGTTAGTCAAAAATCGAAATGTTGTCATTGACTAATGTAGTCAAAAGCCCGAAACGATCAGCAACATAAGTCAAAAACCCGGATACGGTAAATTACATTAGTCAAAAACCAGATGTGGTCAACAACGTTAGTCAAAAACCCTGATACGGAAAACAACGTTAGTCAAAAACCAGATGTTATCAATTTTATAAAAGCAGACTGTTATCAAGATAAGCCGCCAGTATAGTTGCAGCCATCGACTAGCAACCATCACTCTAAAGATGGACTCTGCAATGAGTCCGAAACGTCAGAACTCAACTGTAAACATGGATATATCCTCAAGCACTTCAAGCAAAAAGTCTAACTTTTACCAAAATGCATAAAATTCAGATAAAACATATTTGACTGTTATATACATATTATAATATAATACATATTGAAGTGCTTGAGGAACTTCAAGTAACAAGACAATCCATGAAAGTTTTAACACATTTATAAAAGTTAGACTATTTAAAACTATGGATTATGAATATCAGAGACCTTAAAAATAAATTTGTAAATAGGTGTAAGTGAAAAAAAAAGTCGAATTTCCGGAGTAATTGAGTTTTTTTTGGTTCTTGAAGAACTTGAATTTAATGACTTATGTCGTTTTTGAAATGACCGATTCATTTATAATTTATACAAGTTCCCGAATATTAGTGACATTATATACTTACTACCAGAATCTGTACATTGAGCTATTCGTTTTAGGACAAATACTGAATAATCATTGTAATTATTTTTGTTAATAGTTAAATAATACTTTTTATTTTTTTCAAATGATCTATTAAATTTCATTATCAATGTTTTAAATTCATTATCCTAAAAAATAGTTCGGTTAATATTAGATGTATTAGTTATAAACAATATATACATGAACCGCCAAGAACGATAAAAAATAGGAAATATTTTAGATGATAATCTGTCCAAAAAAGTAATTTAGAATAATTTTAATGGTACCAAGCAGTATTTAATAAAAATTAAAACCTCTCAGTAAAGTGATCACTTAAATTTTCTTAACCATTTAAAAGCCAATACAGTTATAATATTTTGGTAAACAATTGCTGTATTAATTCGGACAATTAATACTTTTATCGTTAACCATTCTTTCTGAATATTTAATTAAAATTAAATAGTTATTTACTAAGAAAAGTATAAAATATAATATAATTTTCTCTGTTCAGAAGTATCCTACATACTTCAATTAGTACCAAAAATATAGTTTTACCCACTTTAAAACTGTATCCATTTAGTTTTTACACATAAATATTTAACTAACACAAGAGTGTCCATAAGATAACTTTCAGGGAGAGACAAAGTAATTATTATTTTTTGCTTATGATCTGAGATTTTTTTTTTTTCAAATAATTGAAATATTAGTTTAAATGAGCAGGAATCACTATTTACATGGTTAGAAATGTATGATTTTTATCTCACTGTGTCTTGTAGCTTATATTCTTCTAATAATTCATCATCCTGATATATTCTTAAAAGCCAGATTGCTGATGAGTGATATTCAGACATTATTTTAAAATACGTCATTGATATACACCCTGTCGCAGTTTCATCTTGAATCCAATCAATTTTAAATGATTTTCCATATTCATAGCTTTTAAACATTAATGAATTACCCTGTATAAATTTATTTCTGTGTCCATCTATTAAATAAATAAATAAATACTAATTTATACTTAGAAGTTTAGCGAAATTATTACTTTAGGTATTATATTTACATAATCTATTGAATATATGGTGCTAATTATTTAGAATACTACTTTAATTTTTGTTAATACATGTTTTTTCGAAAAAATATACTTAAGATAATTTAAATTATTTGTATAAACTTTGTTAAATATTATTTATATTTAAAATTATTTCTAAGGGTAATTTTTAAAGATAACTTTTGATAGGTAAATAGGAATGCATAAATATTTATAATATTAGAAGGAGAAAGGACTAAATATAATTTCGAATGTTCGATGATTAGTTTTTAAATATTACTTTTTGAGATATTAACATTTAAAGATCTAAACGAGGTAAAGAGTGGAACCCTTAACCGGCCCACAGGGGAGGATTTAAAATGACAACTTTTTCACAAAAAATTAACTTTTTCAACTTAACTTTTCAAAGTGTTCCAGAAAGTCTGACACTTTTATATATATCTTAAATGAAAGCTAATGTATTGTACTTTATTATTAAAAAAAAAAAAAATTTGGACGTTATTTTGTCTTTATGGTGAAAACAGACATCAAAGTTAATAGTAAAAATACGATTTTTGTAAAAAAATTCTTTTTCATATTTTTAACTTTATAATGCTACAACTTATTAAGAAGTGTATGGATCAACACCATTTTTTTATGAGAAATAATATTTATATCCCTTTTTCATTCGACATACTTTATCTTAAACAGTATATTAATAAGGAAATAGCAGATCATGTAGCTTTTGGAATAATCCACCAATTTTTTAAAATTAAACACCATCTAAAGATTTGAATCGAAGCGTTTTTTTTTATTGTGATTTTAATCACTGTCAGATATCATTATATTTGATCCAATTATGCCACGTCATCACTGTGCATCGACCCCCCTGTGCTGGGTTTTTATAACTGTTCTTACAGCTTCCAATTGTTCTCTCATTATAACATGACCAAACCATCTAAGTCTATTTTCTCTCATTTTATCCACGATTGATGCTACACTTATACTCCCTCCTATAAGCTCATTTCTTATCCTATCTTCTCTAGTCACTCCACTCATCTTNCTTATCCTATCTTCTCTAGTGACTCCACTCATCTATCTAAGCATTCTCATCTCTGATACACTCATTCTCTGCTATACTTTCTTATCAACCGCCCAACACTCTGAACCATACATCATAGCTGGTCTCACTACAGTCTTGTAGAATTTACCTTTCAGCCTCATTGTAATTTTTTTATGGCATAAAATGCCAGACGCTTTTCTGCACTTCAACCACGCGCACTTAATTCTGTATCTTACATCCTAGTCAATACCACCTCTCTTTTGCACAACTGACCCTAAATACTGAAACTCCCCTCCTCTCCAATCACGTCCACGCCTATTGTCACTGATCTCATCATTTCACCTACCATGTGTTCTCCTTTGTCAAACTCGTACTCTATATACTCTGTCTTACTTCTACTTATTCTTAAACCTTTTTTTCAAGAGCTGATCTCCAAACCTCTAGCCTTTGATTAATTTCCTCCTATTAACACTATTTCATCAGAACACAACATGCACCACGGCACCTTTCCTTATATTTCTCTAGTCATTTCATCCCTCACTACAGAAAATAAATAAGAGCTTAAAGCAGAAACCTGATGAACTCTTACTCTTACCCGAAAACCTTCTGTTACTCCTTCCACACTTCTTACCCTAGTACAAGTGCCATCATATATATCCTCTATTATATTATATTAATGTACCTTTTCGGGATTCCTTTTCTTATTAATAACCACTTTAGAACCTCTCTCGGTACTCTATCATACTCTTTCTCCAAATCTATAAATACCATACAAAGCTTTTTCTTTTTTTCCCTAAACTATTCTATCAGTTGTCTCACACAAAATAATGGCTCCATTGTTGACTTACCAGGCATAAATCCAAATTGGTTTTTAGATACCAATGTCTCATTTCTTATTCTCTTATTCATTACCTTTTCTCAAATATTCATACTATGATTCATAAGCTTATGTCTCTATAATTTCCACACTACTGTATGTCATTTTTACCTTTAAAAATTGGTTCCATAAAACTATTCCTCCATTCATTTGGAATTTTCCCTTCTAATAAGATTTTATTTAAAATCGTTTGGTTGTTAATTCTTTTTTAGGAAACTTCAAAAGTTTAAATTATAGAGAAATAGTAGACGATTTATTGATAAACTATTCAAAAATAGTTAAACAGTACATTTTATAATTTTATTATTTTCTGAATAAAAGATACATGTATATTTTTTAATTTTATCGGAAATAGGGGTGAACATGTCATTGAAAATACATTTTCTTCTNATTTTATCGGAAATAGGGGTGAACATGTCATTAAAAATACATTTTCTTCATGCACACTTAGATTTTTTTCCTGAAAATCTTGGAAATAAAAGCGATGAGCATTGTGAACGTTTTCATCAACAAATAAATGATATAGAACGTCGTTACCAAGGGTCTTGGGATGAAGCAATGATGGGTGACTACTGTTGGTTTCTTATAAGAGAAAGCAATGAAACATATAAAAGAAATATTAAGACAAATGCGTCCTGTTTTTAGTTGAATAAAAATTATTCTTTGATTATCATAAAACTAATTACAAAAAATATCATAGTGAAAATTATAATTGTTTTTTTTTTTTGTAAAACTTAATCATTTATTTTATTCATTATATATTAAATTTACTATATATAAAATTATTTTTTAAATCCATGCTGAAACAATTTCAATTTTCTTAATTCTATAGAAAATTACTTTATATTTTTAGAGAATTATCATTTTTTTTTTAAATACGACAATTTAACACAACTCCACCAAACTGTAAAATTAACTCAATTTAAAAATATCCTAATAAAACTATATGAAATAACCTTAAGTTATTTAAAAAATCGAAATTATGTTTTGAAAAGTAATATTGTGAGTAATTTTTCTATATTTTACAAAATTAAAGCATCGAATTAAAAAACTCTGATATTAGGAAATTTATTTTATTTTTCAATCGCACATAACTTCTATAATATATCATTTTGTTTGTTATGTATTAGAGTATAATGCCTGTTGAAATTATTGTTGATAAATTTATTTTTTATCGGTGTATTTTACGTAAAACTCTGAATTTTTTCTGACATTTTGAAAAAAATGATAAAAATTCAGTGGTAAATTCGTAGATAGCAAACGACAAAAAATTCAATTAAAAAATTGTGTATGATAAAAGTTATAGGTAATTTAATATTGTTTAATTTTATGTAAATAAAAGGAAAATCGGTTGAATGCAATTAAAGATATTTAGTATATAATGAAAACGTTTTTTCGCGATACACGAAAAACGCTAATTTCGCAATAACTCAAAAACTGTTCTACTTTTTGTATTTTGGACTTCATTTTCGGACTCAGTGGACAATTTTACATAAAAAATAACTATCATAAGTTATAGGTCAGAAAATTTTTTTCTATTTGTACACTAGTGTAATCAGCACTTTTAGTTCATCTTATATAATGATAATCTTTAGTCCTTTTCTCTCTTACTTTTGCAGTTCTATAGATTTCTTTCACGCCTTCCTTTGTTCCTAACCTATCATACCTCTTAAACTTTGCCTTAATTAATGCACACTTGGCTTCTTTGTACAAGCGTTTATACTCCATCAAATCTTCTCTCCTTTTGCTCTTCTGTCATACTTTGAATTACTTTTTCTTACTTTCTATGATTTTTTGAACGTCCTCATCCCATCATAGGTTTCCTTGTTTCATGGCATTTTCTCCTACTCTCACCAAAAATCTCCTTTGAAATATTCTTAACACAACTAGCAAATCTATTCCCCACATCATTTATGTCTCCTTCAACATTCCACACTGTCCTCTCTTTTACCGTTTTGACAAATTCTTTTTCATTTTCCCCTTTTAATTTCTACCAATAGATTTTAGATTTTTCTCCCGTGTTCCTTCTGTTTTTGTATATTCTTTTCCCGGTGCATCAAAACTCTATTAGTCTATGCTGTGTAGTTACACTCTCATTTGTTATAACTTTACAATCCTTTACTCGCTTTACGCTCTCTCTCTTCCACATAAAATAATCAATCTGTAATCTATTCCTCCCACTACTATAAGTTATATATTATTTTTCCCTCTTTCTAAAATAAGTATTAACCACAGCAAGACCATACGATACTGAAAAATCCAGGATTCTTTCTCCAGGCGTATTCTTCCCACTAAAACCATACCCTCCATGTACTCTTTCATATCCTCTCTTCACATTACCTACATGTCCATTCATATCTCCACGTATCACAGCATCCTCATTGTCAGGTACCCCTTGTATGACCTCTCACTCCAAAACACTTCCTTGTCTATTTCATCACATCCTACTTGTGGTGCATAGGCACTTATTATATTCACCACTTTTTCCTCGAATATCAATTTCACGACTATAATCCTGTCACTTTTCCTAGCTACTTCTACTACTTTACTTGTCATTTCCTCGCCCATTATCACCCCTACACCATTCTTGTACTATACTTTTTAAACCTGAAGTATTAAATACAAGTACATTACAATAATGTAAAAATAAAGTTAATTATTTTTTTCTTGTAACATAATTTAACTAAGTAAAAATATGCATAAATTAGGTTTTAACTTAACTTCAACGAGATAAAAAAATATATAAATTTGCCCCAATGAGAATAATACTATGAACTATTATTCTAACATACTAAGATCACCAGAAATTTCTATTTAATAATATTTTTTGCTTAGTTTAGATTGATATGTAATGGTCATAATAAACTATGAATATTTTGTCTTTATTACTAATTATATTTTTTTACTGCCTTCTTTAGAAATCTAATGGGGTAAAAATATTTAGGAATAAGGAATATTTATCAAGATACTTTAGACAGATGATGAACTTGGAAAAACAGAAGTTTAAAATTTTTGAAAGGTAACATATTTAACCCATAAACAATAATCTGTTTACTCTAAATATGACAAATGCTGGCATTAATACAACTTGAAGTATTTATCACCTTTGGTATGTTTATTATAAATTCTAATATTTTATATAATAATTTCAAAATTTGTACTTCAGATGTAAAATAAAAATTTTATTTATCTTTGATGCAAAGCTAAGAAGGTATTAATTTTACCGTAATGTGTTTATTAATTATTTTATCATACGTAAAAAGATCACACATCGTATTTAGTTAAAGATGTTGTCTGAAAAACTCCCTTGTTCCCTGTAAATAGTGGAAATCCCCCAAAAATGTTGATTTTTAATCAGTAAATTTCGAAATTTTTATAAACATTACGTCAAATTAACAAATTGTACCTGTCATCACATTTATTGTCTACTTTTTTTTTACTAGTTAAAGAATTAACTATTATTTAAATAAAAATTAGGTAGTTATAACCAGTTAAATACTCCAAATAAATTGTGCTGAATCAGATAATCCACATAACAATGTAAAAATATTAATTGATAAGAAATGTTGATGTAAATTAATTACACAAACACAATTAGATACAATTTATTTAAGTAAAAAAATTATTATTTAATAAATTTAACTTACAGTGATAATTATCATAATTAATACTATTTGAGATGGTGTAGTATTTCGAATCGTATTCCACATGATTTTTTGAATATATACTATTTGGATAAAAAGAATCGACAATAAACTCAAGACTTTTTTTTCCTGATTTCAGAACTCGTCCATTAAAATATACTGGCAAGCTTATGGCATTAGTTCGAGAATGTATTTCTGCATTATTACAGCAAAAATAATTTTCTTCATAAATAATTGAAGTTATATTATCGTCTAGTTAAAATTGTAGACAGCGGAATTAGAATAATTATTACCAAAAAATAAATAACAAACAACTGTAAACTCTTACATGAATTTAAATAAGTGCAATTTTCTTTTAATTTGCATACCAATGTAACATCGTAAGAATCTGAAAAAAGAATTTTAAATAATAAAAAAAAAAGGATAACAGTGGAACGATTACTGCAAATAGTTGTTTCATTATTAGGACATTTGAAGTCAGCTTATGTTTGATTGAGTAAAACACGTATTATATTTAAAAAAAAAGAAAAACTGCTCTAATTTAATCCAAAAAAAAAAAATAAATTATCTGACTGTAATTATTGTCCATTGACAATAATTTAAATTATTGAATGAATAAAATGATAAATAATATTGTGTATACGGAAATATAAAACTTAATTTACCATTCTCTTAAAATTTGAAAATACAGATCAGCCTCCTTTTTTTTACAAACCTTTTACTTTTGACTTTAAGATTATTAATTTGTATAGAGATTAGAAAAAGTGTATTCTTTGAATAATTTACTAAATTTAATATTTGATCATTTTAATTACCTGTAGAAGTATCAACCAATTTATGAAAGACTACAGATTCGGTCGATTTGCATATAAGAAAACTATATATAACTAACAAAATAAAATCGATTTTCCTAAAAAGTACACTTTTTAAACCCATTCTGTTCATTGAGTGGCTTCCAGTGTCCCTTAGTTTTATATCGTGGATCTGCAGATTAAAATAAGCTAATGATTATGTACAAAATATAAATTTAAAAGATAATCCAAAAGATGATTATCTAGAACAATGTTTTTTTTTTATAATATATATAGAGATTGATGCTTTCTGTCGCACAAAAATAAGTTATAGCCAAATTTATTGAGAGGATTTATTTTTTAAACTCTAAAATTGTCGGTTTACATAAGGCACCATCAGTGCTGGCATTAGATTTTACGGATCCTGAGACAAATCATAATTACAAGCCCTATGCCAGGAAGTAAAGTGTTGAAATTAGATAGATTTTCCTAGTAAAAATAATTACACGGTGAATACAAATTTTTTTTGTTTGAAGAACTATTAAAAATAAATTAAACTCTAACAACGCCTTTGATTTGTGTAGGACACTATGAAACGCAGTGCCAGGAGCTCGTAATTTGCTCGTCGTGACTTTGTACCGGCACTCTACACCATTAAAATTTTAAATTTGCAATTATTCTCCTAAAAAATGTTTAAAAAAATTTACTTATCAGATTTTGAAAAATAACCACAGAATTAAATTATACGTATAAATGTATTTTGTTCACAATATAAATATTTAAAAAAATCATGATCACATGTCTTTTAGGTATAACTGTTGATCTTCCAAACTACTTTTTTTTTAATCATTTGAAGCTCTATAATACATAGTTTGGTTTATTTCTTCATATATAAATGAAGAGTGAATGTGTCAATTGTTCTATGTGCCAAAAAAGTGAAAAATTGTTTTATTTCTAATTTATGTTCTTTGTGCCAAAGGCCACAATCTTGTATGTGTTTCAAATGTCTATTAAATTTTTTACTTGTACAAAATTGCATTCATAGATGGTGTTCGATATGTGAAACATGCCCATGTTACCATTGTTTTTTGTGTTTTCTGAACAAATATGTTTTTGGCATATAGAACGTTTGACACATTCACTCTTCATATATATTTATATACACTATGTTTCATTTATCATGAACCAAAATCAGAATAATATTGATAATTTTTTTATTGGTTTCTTTCAGTTCAATGTTTAACTGAATGTATCAATCATATAATATTTTTTATGTTTATGCCTTAAATCTTATAAGAGTGACAACTTTTATTTTTCTAATGGTAACATAAATGATTATTAATTAATAATAATAACTTTTGGACCACTATTTCAGAAGTTATTAACAATTTAAAGTAATGACTAGAGTTAAAGAGTATTGATAAGATGTTGCTATTTTTTTATTAGACATTTCCCAACAGCCCTATTCCTCCCTTTGGAATCTTATATTCTAATAGTTTTAAAAAAAAGTATGTCAAATGAAAAAGGAATATAACTATTATTTCTCATAAAAAAATTGTATTGATCTATACACTCTTCAATAAGTTATAGCATCATAAAATTAAAAATGTAAAATATAAATTCGAGAATTTTCACATAAAAATAGCATTTGGTAACTATTTTCACTATGAAGACAAAATAAAGTCCGAAATTTTTTTTTCCATGATAAAGTATATTACATTAGCTTTAATTTAAGATATATATATATATAAAAGTGTCAGACTTTCCGGGACACTTTCAAAATTTAAATTGAAAAAGTTGTTATTTTGAATCCCTTTTTGTGGGCTGATAAAAGGTCAAATTTATAAAAAAAAATATACCAAATAATAGGTAAAGACATCAAACATCTATAAAAAAAAAAATTATATTGATTTGTTCATTTTTGAAAAAGTTATTGTAGTTTTAAGTAAAAAAATTGAAAAAATTTCGAATATTAGCGATTTTTAAATTTGTAATTTTTTTGGAGGTTCCCCCATTTATGGGGAACGAGGGAAATTTGTTCGATTTTTGTGGGTAATGTCTTCGACTAGATACGATTTGACGTATCATTGAAAGAAATCCGTTCGGTGAGAGCTGAGAAAAAAAACATAGTAAAATTAATACCTTCTCAACTTAGCATCGAAGCTAATAGCATATTTTTAAAAATACGGTAGCCTTTTGCACATAGAAATTATGGGGACAATTTTTTTTTAACTTAGAATAAGCAACACATATTTTAATTTAAAATATTTTTGAAGTATTTCCGGAGCATTTTCAAAAAGTTGATAAAGTTAATTTTTTTTGTAAGTGTTACTATTTTTAATTTCCCTCTGTGTTGATATTCAATAATATACCAAATGAAAAGGAAATACCTAAAGGTAATGATTTAAAAAAAACAGAAATTTGTTTCGTTCAGATTTAAAAAATGTCGAAATTTACCGATTTTTAAAATCAACCTTTTTGGGGATATTTCTTCCATGTACAGGGAACAAGGCAATGTTTAAGGATAATAACTGCAACTATATATAATTTATGATCTTTTGGCGTATGGCTGAAAAAAATCGGTCCGGTGAGCTGAGAAAAAATGGCGACAGATATAAAAATAAATTAAATAAATTAACACATTATAATAAAATTAATACCTATTCATCTTCGCATTGAAGCTAAAATAAAGTGGATAACCTTATAAGGTATAAGGGATTAACACAAAAATACTTTATGATTGACAAATTAAGAAATGTATTAAGTTATGTATTAACTTCCTATGCTATAAAATACTAAGGAGTTATTAATTTCAATAATAGATCAAATTTTCTACGTATTCTAATTTTATTTTGCATAACTAAATATTTACATACAATACATATAAATATTTCATGTATATTATACATTAAGAAAAAAACGGAAATATTAAAAAGCAAAAATGTATAGACACATACCTTTGTGGATTTGACGTGATTCACTGAACAGTAATTGCGATAATGAAAAATTAAGCGTGAAAGCATAAAAAAATATAATATTAATTATTTTAGTAATTGAAATGTGATTAGACAACGATTACCTATACTAATAGATAACCGTAGAATAGACCAAAGTGTATTTGATATTAGTAAATCGGACATTGAAGTCATTAACTATTTAAATTAATATGAAAGAGATAACCTTTGTTGTTTGATTTATTATGTTGTTTTCAATGAAATAGTATTTTCATAAACTATTACGATATTCTATTAATTTTTATAAACCAACATTTTTATTTGTTTTCAATACACAATGTTCTTTTTTTATATTCGATCAGTAACTGAAACAGTAATGTTTTTATTGTGTTTATATTTTTGTTTGGTACAAAATATCAAAAATACCTAACAAGATATTTCGTTATGTCTCTATGACCGGTTCCCTGTGACGAGTGCGCTCGTCTCCATTAAATTTCCGTCACTTTATTCGTTTCGCGTATGTCCTGTACGTCTGAGGTGTCCGATTTGTCACTCCTCTGACAACTGACGTGTGACATTAACAAATTGTACATGTTTTTCGCTACACCCGCCCGTTGTTAATGTTTCTGTTAAGGTAATTTTATTCGATATACGTCCTCTTAAGCATCTATTGCCATCGACCTATGACATAATTAGCCTGATTTGATAGAAACCCCTTTGGTTAAATTACAATTCGAGTGTTTGTTCAATTTTGCGAGCTCGACTTGTACCGAAGCCCTCCAATGAAGTTTGTATTCTCGAGGCGTGTCTTGGTCGTCTTTGCACTGAGCGCCACTGAACGTATAAAGATAAGCCATTTTCAGGCCAATCGAATTATTAGATGTCTCTGTTTAACATTTTCCATCTGTAAATCACTTGTCAGTAAATTCTGTAAATAACTTTGAATAATTTACAATCTATTTAGACAAACATTGTTTATTACTAATTCATTGTTTTATTTACTACTCTTTAAATAGTAAAATTTCATTTAATTAACTTTTGTCACTTTAGAGATTGTATTGTTCATATGTATCAAAGACTGTTTCTCATACATTGCGTGTAGTTGAATTGTTGTTTACTCGTTGTACTATATGCAATCATAAGTTAATTTCATAAAATTTCAATTGTCAGAAATATTATTTGTTAATTACTCCATCTATTGTGTTTTTATTGAACTATTTTAAGTGTAAGACTCAATACCACCCACATGCATCCTATCAGTCCTTTTGGTACTTATCTAAAACCAGCTAGACGAGTCTACACTCAAACGCAGTTGCGTCTTAATATTTGTGTCGCACAGATTTTATTTTATTTATAAAATAAAATTCTATTTTTAAGCGAGAGGAATGGACTCGATGCGATGCCCAGTTGATACAGTGTCTTTTGTTTCAATATACGCATAATTATGTATTTGTCTTCCTCGGTATAAATTTGTATTAATTAATGTGCTTAAAACTATTGTATGTATTCAATTAAAAAGTTATCATCATCTAATTCAAGTTTAGATATACTATTGCAAATTAACATCATATTTTCTCTTAATTCCCAGTGTTGTTAAAATAATATTTTTTCTTTGAATCGATTTATAAAATAAGTAAACAGTTGAAAACGTTTAAAACGTCCCATAAGACCAATATATCGTATTTTCCACCGTACGACTGAACACACACACACTAAAGTATTAGTATTTAAAAATAGAAGAAAACTTTATGGAAATCTTGCCTGTCAAGGTTAACAGATGAACACACTCAAAAAGTTAAGTTTAATAATGACAAAACAAAATATTATATAGTATTTTATAATGCACATTTTAAAAATACAATAAAATAAAATCGTTACGGTCATAGTTTCCCTTGGCAGCGACCCGGCGGGCTCGTCTACAATTTAGGTTATTCATACTTAATTACAAATGTCCTACTTAACTAAGTATAAATTAGTCAATGTTTGAAAATCATAACAATAATAAATAAACTACGTGTATTCTGCACATACTGCAAATGTAAAATATAGGAGAGGGACTCTTTGGATTCCCCACTAGGGTTTACGTTCCGAGTCGGGTCCATATATATATTTATCAAATCATCTCACAGCAATTTGANATATCGAAATATTTATCGAATCATCTCACAGCAATTTGCAAGAAAAAGGAAATAAGTAAATTTACGTATGTTATCCCAATTATTTAGAGTTAATAAGTTTGAGTAAAGGATGACAAAGCAATAGAATCTATTGCTTTGTAATCCTTTATTAATTTAATAAATCATCTATTGAATAGTAATTTTTTTTATAACATTGACTAGTTAACTCTTCCTCTTTATCCTCTCCTTAATCCCAACTATTTGGGTCAGCCAAACATTGACTATTAATTGTAAAATCAATAAAACAATTCATTCAAATAACAAATATTTAATTTTTTGTATATAATTTTATAAATATTACAAATACGATAATATTTTATATTATTATAAATTGTAAAAATATATATTGTAAAATAAAGATAAGTATAAAGTATGTTGTGTAACTGAAATAATATCATAAAATAAAAAAAATAACATGTTTCCAATTATTTAGACCTTTTCATTAAAGAAATCTGTCAACAGGGCCGATTTTTTTGTATTTCCTAGACTCCTCTACGAGTTCTCTTGTTACTTCTGTTATTCTAATTTTTGCGATTTGATATTTGATGTTTAAATGATATTCCTACCGAACTCAGCCAATAATTATTAATAAAACTTTTTGTCTCTATCGAATGACCCTTTTCAACAAAACCAATTCATAAATATTGTCATCAAACTATATTGTTTGAATTTTATGTAGATGAAGTATACTCTAGAATGTACAAACGGTGTTTGTATAACAAATACAATTATTCTTAAAAACATCCACATTTTATACTTTTAAAAAACATCATTTTTGGAGATAACCATGTAACCGGGTTTCCTTTGTAAAAGATCAATTAAGATTGATGATTTTAAGTGGTCGTAATTGTGAATAGATGTAGCGCAAAATTAATTTTCTATAATACATTTAACATTATTGTATGGTACAGAACGCCTTTAGAAGGATCTAGTTGACCAGTTGTTACAAAGATCATTGATTATATTATTTCATGGGACAGCTGATCACCAGCATCTTGCTTTACTCACCCCCTTGCCCACCCATCACGGCAAATCGATGACCTCCGTGTCAGTTTTCATCCGTGTGCAGTTCATTGTCGTAAGTCAGTCTGTCGATTGTTTTATGTGTCTCTCTTTTCTGTTTTCTGTTGCAAGCGCCTTCGCTTGAACAGTAAATTTGTTCGGCCGTTGTACGCCATAGTTTTTATTATTTGTTGTTGCACCCTTGTGCTCAAGTTTTCGTGCCCTTGCACACCACCAGTGATTCTGCTCTGACCATCACTAGATATCTTCATTGCCATAGTCGCTTTTCACCGTCTGTTCTCATCTGCAATTACGTGTCTGGATCTACACTCTGACTCGTGATACTCAGATGTTTGACACCATTACCTCAAGTACTCATACAGTCCACTCATCACTATCAACAACGTCATCTATACAGCTGAGTTTTATATTATTTTTTAATGCTATTTATTGTTTGTTTTAATTGAGATTAACTATTTTGTTTTATGCCGCTTCGCCGGCCACTAGTATTTAAGGGCTCCCCGTTGCCCCTTAAATTTAAGATACTCTCTGAGGAATTTCTAATATATGTGATTATTTGTTATTTAATTATTGTCTACTCTATTAGTAGACAATATTGTAGAATTTTTCTAAAAGTGGCCACATTATATTACACACTTTATTGTTTTTTCAATTTTATCAATTACCATACCTAAAAGTACACCATATTAATAAATGTTTGAAGTCGTACATTTAAGTAACTGCCTTATATATATTGTTTTTTTACTTTATTTTACATTTACATTGTCCTGTTATTTGATTATCAAGCAATTTATGAGTGTGTACATTTCAAACGTGTTGAAATAAAAAGCTCATCACATAAGTTACTTAATCAGGCATTTATAAAATACAATATGAAAGTTGTAATAAATGTTACATAGGAAATAAAAAGAAATATAGAGGTCAGATTTAAAGAGCAGTTAAGAAATATTAAAAATCAAGAAGTTGAGAAATCTCCAGTGGCTGAACATTTATTGACACATAATCACTCCATTAAAACCATAAAACTAATTAAAAACGTAAATAATTACAAAGAACTTAATATCAGAGAAGCAATAGAAATGTTTAAAAATAAAAACAATTTAATTAATTGGGATCTTGGCCCACTGAAAAATTCATTATTAAACTTGTGTAAACTGGCAAAATGTGATAATATTACTTAGTGATGACGTCACTAGGGGTATATAAGGGAGTTTTTTCTAGTCGGGATGTCAGTATGTGTTTAGCGTTGATAATGGTAACATTGTTTCCGAAATACGTATCCGCGACTTTTCATTAATTTTTTGTGACTTTGAGTTTAATATTTTTTAGTTTTTATAAATTAATAATATTTTTAATATAGTTTTAATTTTACTTAATTAATTAGCCACAAGTGATCAATTTTTATTATATAAGTAAATCTTTTTAACAATTTTTTTTTTTTGGCTCTTTTAGTTAAAGTAAATCATTAAAATTAATTAAGTTCTGAATATTTCAACTGTAGAATCTTTTTAAACACGAAAAGTTAATTAGAAATGATTTCTATGTAAGTGATCTATTACGATAAAAATACAAAAAATTCGAGCTTTTCTGATAAATTTACTGTAAATTTGTAAAAATTTATCAAGGCAATATTGCATTGGCACAATTATCACCAAGACAAAAAATTCAACAATAAAAAATGTCTCCGTAAGTTTCATCGCGTTGTCGAGAAAGACATTAAGCTCGAGTCTAGCTACCTAGTTCGTATAGGCTTACAAATATACTTAACTTAATATATCTAGTTTCAGAATAATATCTAGTTGAAATCTTTACTTTTGTCTGCCGAGGCGATGTTCGTTAGAACAAAGATATTAAGCTCAATACTAGCTACTTAATAAGAAATACTCACAATAGAAA